GTCTCTATGAAACCAATTACGTTTTGTGGATAATGAGAAAATGTAAAAAATCTCGTTCAGAGAAAATGCTACCTAATACTTTTAAATTTGACCTCGTTTTGTCAAGACGTCAATATAATCAAATTACATATCGTAAGAAAAATATCTAATTAAAAAATAATACATATTTATACATATATATATATATACAAGGTGTCTCAACTAAAGGAGGCCACCTATCTACTTTATTTTTAATAGCACAACAAATATTTATAGCATAATTTAAATGGTATCCATAGAGGAATACCATAGAAGAAATTTTTTTTGTCCAGTTATTTTTCATAGGATTTTCAATTTTTTCAAGGTCCTCATTATTTTCTTATCAGGAATACTTACATTATTTTTATTCCATCTTATACCAGCTGAGAAAACACACTTAAATATGCTTTAGTCATTACCATTACCTTCAGGTGACCTTAGTTACCAAAATTGTAGAATAATATTGGAATCACATTTGAATTTATTATTTATGTTATTAAGTGCTCAAAGTGATGTCTGTCGACAGCATTATATGTTCTGACACGATCAATCATGGATTGTGATACTCTTTATATTATTTCCAGTGAGATTGCTGTCGGTGTAGGTTGCTATTGGTAAACTTCTTCTTTTAGTTTTCCCCAAAGAAAGAAATCTAATAGCGTCAAATCTGGTGGTGCTGGCCAAACTGTGGGACCATTACGTCCAATCCATCGATTTTGAAATTTTCTATTCAAAACTTGACCCGCTGCTTATGAGTAAGGAGCTAGGCAACCATCATGTTGGTACCACATAGTTGCACAAACACTTAATAACAAATCTTCCATCAAGTCATCTAGATCGCTTAATAGAAATCCTGTGTACTTATCTCTGTACAGTGTCCCGTTAATAAAATAAGGTCCAATGATTTTGCTTCAACTGTTCACTGTCCACAGTCTTTGTCTGTCTACTTGTCTCATCCATCGTGGGTTTTCTATGGACCAATAGTGCATATTTCTAACATTTACCTGACCATGTTTAGTAAAAGATGCTTCGTCAGTAAATAGAACTTTTATAAAAAACGTTTCATCACTTTCCAATTGTTGTAATGCTCATCAATAGATCTGCTTTTGAAAATCTCTACTGTGAAGGTCCTCATAAAGCGATAAGTGAAATGGGTGAAATCTTTGCATCTTCAGCATACGTGATATGCTTAATTTATTAATATTAATGTCCAGCTCCAATTGTTCAATACTAATCTGTGGATTTTGCCTTACAGCTGCTACAACTCTTCGAACATTTGTCTCATATGTAACAGTTTTAGTATGTATTGTAGTATGTAGTATGTATATGTTATGTATGTATGTAATTTTAATATGGATACCATTTAAATTATGCTATAAATATTTTTTGTGCTATTAAAAATAAAAGAGATATTTAGGTGGCCTCCTTCAGTTGAGACACCCTGTATAGGAGTGATAATCTAATAAATATTTTTACTGCTTTATTTGGACTTGGATTTTGTACAACAGTCCACTATAATTTCGTTTATTTAACTTTTCTAGTCCAAACGCATCTCTTGCTATTTTTAAGCACAGAGAAATTAAAATAAAGAATTGACTTTAGAAAAAAAATGAATTTTTTCCAGATTAGTCTATTTGAATTTCATCTGTTTGTTGTTGTTAGGAAAAAGACTCCTATGGGAACGAAGTGCTAAGGCTAGCAAGACCCTTGCCTGTAGAATATTTATTGGTAGACATACCTGCATCCACGCCGCTCACTCCACAATTTACTTTTTACGTTAGCGATAATATTAATTCATTTCCAATCGAGAATAGGTACGTAAAAAATATTGATACAGTCATTTTATTGTTCCTGTAGTATCGATTATGTTACCGCAAACTTTCATTTCAGACTCGTTGATGGACAAGTACAAGAATTCAATTCGCTTGGTTCTTACATGCACCAATTTAACGAAGATCAATTTTTAGAAGCTATTTCAGATTTTCACTTGTTACTTTTTATTGCAACAATGGACACGTTACCAATGAAGGTATAGCATTCTCTTCTTTTAAATAGTTATTTATATGAAACATCTATCTATCCCTATGAAACATATTTTTCTTTTTCTTTAGGACCACATGATGCCACTGTTAGAAGCAGTTCGTGATAAAGACAGACAGAAAGCGATAGAATGGGCACGTTCTGAACACTGGGCAACCGTAGAACAACTTATATCTGCGACTACGCCGTCAACAGTACACTCACCTCAGACATTGTTCAATAGTAGCGCAAGAATGCCATCATCTTCGGCTGAAGGAGGAAACGGAGTAGGAGTTGGTACAGAACCAACTTCGAATCCACCTCCCGATCAATCGCTTTGGACTTGTTCATTTTGCACTTTTATCAATGCAGCAGATCTTGCAATCTGCGAAATGTGTACTTTGCCAAGGTATACATAACTGTCAATATTATATTGCTTCTGTACACATTTAAGGGTGTTATCCATAAGTTGCTACTTTGCTTCCACAGGACTTGATGCATACTGTCTTCTTGCGGACGTAACGATTGTTTTCTACGCATCTTTGGCCTTATTTATGAGTGAAAAGAAAAAACAAAAAAAAATAATATTTTTCACCGAAGTATATAATATATTCTCCAATTTTCCTCTGTATCGCAATGTTTTACAATGCATTTATTTATAACTCGTGTGGAAATGCAAAATGTAACAGCCAGTTCTTTTCATGTTATCATTACGATATAAGTACATATGAATTACTTATAAATATATTGTAAATTATTATGTTTACAGAAACGATAACAGTAATTCTTCATAGTAAAAATGTGAAATTATGAACCGAATGAACCTGGACAAAATTAATAATTACCATAGTTTAAGTTATCACAAAGTTTACATTAGCATGTGACAAAAATAAATACTAAGTTTGAATAAATAACAAATATCAAGTTTGATGGAAAAAATTATACTGCAATTATAATGCTGCATGATTATAGAAAATGATTGGCAGAGATTTCAAGCGAAACATATGATAATATTTATTCAGAATAAACTGTATTCAATTTTCAGCAAGCTTTTATTGTCATTACTGACAAATTTAATTTGATACATAATATTTAGAACTTGTCTCTCAAAACATTGATAGTTTTGTTGACAACCGTAACGTTACTTTAATAATATAAACTCTTTACAACTAATTCTGGATACAATAGAATAAGTTAAATTAGATACAGTCTGTTCGTCTTTATCAATTTTGTATGTTTTTTTTATCAATTCAAGGTCTGAAAATTGAGATAGTTTGGAAAGTGAAGTTCTCTCCCCTTTTATATTCTTCATAAGTATTTCTGACATTGATCCTTCATTATCCATTTTGTGTACGTGTACTATCAATACATTCTTATCATTATCGTTAATACCAAACTCCATTAATGAACGTGATATGTTCTTCGATATTGACAAATTAAATAAAATTTCAGTATATATACTCTTCGTAGTAAGCTGATTCAACTTTGCGCTAACTGCTGCTTTGTTGGCAGTTACTACTACATGAAACGGATCTACTATAAGTGCTGCTTTTATAATGGAACAACTAAGTTCTCCATTCAGAACTTTCTTGCGTATTTCGTCAGAGTTTTGCACATTTGTAAATAAATATAACGTGCAAAACATATCCGTTTCAGGATCTAACGGTACTGTATAGTCATCCATCTTCTATCACGTAATTTCCAATCAAGATTTACGAATTTTTTTTTAATTTTATGTATAACTTATAATATCGTTAAGTTCGCGTTTCTTTTCATAGTAATACGTGTTTTCGTTTATTGTTTCAAGAAATCTGATTTCAAACTAATTACTTAATAACCACTAAAAGAGCTAAAATCAACTAAAGCAAACTTTAATTATGTACATATATGATATGTGCTCTGGTATATATGATACATAGTACAGTATGGTGCAGTATTTTGCAGGCGAAAACATTTGGTGGCGACCCCTTCTGGAAGAAACTCCACCACTAGAGGGCTACAAACAGTTGTGGATTCTTACAGTTGTTCGAAATCATCTTCGATATACATTTTATGCGATTAATTATGAAAGGTGTTTAATTTAGACATTTTACAGATTTATCTACTATAATGTGTGTAATTGATGTCGATTAAAACTGATGTCGGTGAAGTCAATATCAATCATTTCCACGGTACCATGTTCAGGGCCGGCGTTAGAGGGGGGCGCGGTCAGGCAATTGTCCAGGGCAGTAGATTTTTGAAGGCGTCGGAGTTCGGTGTAGATTAGTAAAGCTGCTATATATTGTAGATTAACAATCTTTACAATTTAGCTACAGATTCATCGGTTGATATTATTACCTTGTCTTCTTTTCTTAAAAATGTTAAGCCTATGAAGGGGCACCACGATAATCTTGCCCGGGGCCCCAATATTGCTAAAACCGGACCTAACCATATCACAGTTAAAAGTCACAACTAAACAGAGAAAGAAAACCGTGGTACTCTATCTGTCTTTGTCTCTTAGCGCATGCGTACAAGTGCATGGATCCACGCATCTTTCTGAATATCTCCTTGCCAACGTTAACGCTTTTTTCAATTCAATTCACTCGACATTCAATTATTTTCTTGTAATATTTTATCTTTATCAGTGTCATATAAAATGTTGAAGGTCCTTGAAAGGGGTGGTTCGGGGGGTGATTTGAAACAACTTTTTCCTTAGCGAAAATGTTGTCCGAGGCTTCATTTAGGAAATATTAACGGAAAACCCCGACCCATTAAAGCGCGTAGACTACGCTACTCCGACCAATCAGAGCGCGAGTATGCCGATGGAGCGTAGGCTACGCGATAGGCGGCCACGCTGATACGCTAACCGTGGCCGCTCCACTGGCATACTCGCGCTCTGATTGGTCGGGGTTTTTTGTTAATATCTCCTTAACGAAGCCTCGGACAACATTTTCCCAAAGGAAAAAGTTGTTTCAAATCACCTCCCAAACCACCCCTTTCAAAGACTTCCAACATTTTTGGGACACCTTGTACATGATCAAAGGTCTGTAAACTGCAAAGATGGGAAAAACCCTAGGCTTCGAATGAATCTGAAGTTTGCCGATATGTTTGTCTCGTTTCCTTGTTTGAACATTTTCCAAAGAAGAAAGCGAGACAAACACGTCGGTTAACTTCAGATTTATTCGAAACCTAGAGTTTTGCACATCACATTTTAAAAATGCTTTGGTCGAGTAAAAACTGGTACCGAAATTCTTTAATGATTCTTAGAAAATGAACAAAGAAGCTAAAAGAATGGATGTTTTAGTTCATATTAAAGCTTCAGTTCACACTTCGACAATTTTATTTTTAAAATTACTTAATTATAAAACTCGAAAACTTGAACAATAAGAAAGAAAAGATTGAACATCGAGTAGATCGTGTATATTGGTGTATATAATATGCATCTAACTTAACCCTACATTCATTTGTACTTTCGATTATTAATATACAAAACAAAATGTCATAAAAATTCCTGTAGTTATAAATACCTCTTTTATCATTTTAAAAGTATTATACTGTAAAATTATACTGTATAAGAACGTTGTACGAAATTATGACCGACAAAAGTTCATGCAGATCTGTGTTTGGTAAACTAATCGATTGCGGTAACTTTCCATTTCATAACGAAGCGGGTACGAATCGCTTTTTGGAAATTTCTCAGACATTTTATTGTTGGCTTAGTAAATTCTGGATTGAATTGGAATGTCAGTCAAATTAAATCGGCATGCCCTCCGAGGAAGAAAAAGACCGAAGATAAAAGCGACGAAAGCAGAAGATCGCACGAGGAAAGCAGAAGATCGCTTGACGAAAGCAAAGGATCGCTCAACGGAGGCTTAGACGTTCCTTGTCCTCCTGCTAAAAAAAAATCACCATACAAACTGCCTAGTGAGATTTGTCCAACTACGGCACCTTGTTGCATTATTAAAATGCAGGTAAAAACCTCAATTTTAATTGTAAGCCTGAAATATTATTTATTTATTTTATTATAATATTTATTATAATATTTATTATTTTTCGATACAGTACGACTCAACGTAACGATTATCATTTGTTTACATTAAAAAATATTTGTAGGATCCTTGTGCACCGTGCTGTTTCGAGGAGAAGCCGAAGCCGCTACCTTGCCCGCCTAAATGCGGACCTCAGGAACCACGGCAGCCAACTTGCGGTTGCGACCTTTGCCAAAAGAATCCTGACAATGAGAAATGTTGCGACAAGAATGCAGCTTTTCGCGGTATAACCATTGATCCCAGGTACTTCGAGAAAGCGTGAATACCTTTCGAATAAACTTTATTGAAACGATACAATTGTGATTAATAATAAAAGGTAATAAAAATGCGAAATTAAATCATCAGGTAAATAGTACTTAATCAGGGGTCATAATGTGTTTAATCATGGGTGTTTTCAGCGATTGGTATGATCTAGAATCTAGATATTTCCAAGCTTGGGATAGGTGTATACAAAAATTCTGGTTTCTAATCGGATTGAATAATTAAAAGAATTCCTTTTTTTAAACAATTTAGCTTGATCAGATAGTAAATGCATTTGAACATGTTCAAATATGAATTCAGCCAATTATTAGAATCCATGGATTCCATGTATTATTTTATCTACAACATTCACGGTTGGAGCTTCTCTTTTTTATTACACATGTTATCATTATTACGATATCATCGCGCTCATTTCCGATACTCGGGTGATTTAACTATTACTCGAACTCGATAATCTTTCAGGTTAGTTTGAATAACGTTATCGTATTAGATACTTATCACGGTGTCCTTGATAATATCTGCACAAATGACCTATTGAATCAATTTATTTAAAAGTTACATATAGAGTTACATATGTATACATTTATTATTATAATAATTAGACTGCGGATCTTTATGCATTTATAAGAAATTTGAATGTGCAAGAAACTACGAAATGCAAACAATATGCAAGAATACAAAAAAGATTGAAAATAAAGCTCATGTTCCAATATTTGCAAAATAAAATAAATTCCTATTTAAATTCAATGTTTGTAGTCACGTTTGCGAAGATTTTATTTTGCATAAAGATCCGCAGTCTAGTAATAATATACAGGGTGGAGCATTTAATATTCCCCAGTAGAATTTTTCGGAAACTATAGGAGTTAGCGATAAATGTTTCGAACAAACGTTGCTCAATTTCGAGGGAGAAATATTCTTATGACCTTGTCTTTCACCTTGAAGGTCATGTTCTTGATTTATGAATGACTTATGCATTCAAACAAGATGGAAATGTTTTAGAGCAATTACTGCAACCTATTTATGTAACTAACAATTGATTAATTTGGAAAATAAATGTAAAATAAATAATCAATATAAAATATAGGGTGTCCCAAAAATGTTAGTTAACGCTTTTTTTAATTCAATGCACTCGACATTCAATTATTTTCTTGTAATATTTTATCAATATCAGTGACATATAAAATGTACATTCTATGACATATACAATTTCTTTGTACAATACAGGGTGTCTCAAGAATGTTGAAGATCCTTAAAAAGGGTGGTTCGGGGGGTGATTTGAAACAACTCGCGCTCTGATTGGTCGGAGTTTTTAGTTAATAATTCTACATGAATTGCAAAATTGTTGTAGGTCCTTGGAAAAGGTGGTTCGGGAGGTGATTTAAAACTTTTTCCTTAGCGAAAATGTTGTCCGAGGCTTCGTTGAGGAGATATTAACAAAAAATTCCGACCAATCAGAGCGCGAGTATGTCGGTGGAGCGGCCGTAGTAGCGTATGAGCGCGGCCACTTAGCGCGCCAGTGGCCTCTACGTTCCACCGGCATACTCGCGCTCTGATTGGTCGGGCCCGCAGTAGCGTATGAACGCGGCTGCCTAGCACGTAGCCTACGCTCCACCGGCATACTCGCGCTCTGATTGGTCGGGGTTTTCCGCTAATATCTTCTTAACGAAGCCTCGGACAAAAATTTCGCTAAGGAAAAAGTCGTTTCAAATCACCTCCCGAACCACCCTTTTCAAGGACCTACAACAATTTTGGGACACCCTGTATATTTATAATAAAACATACGTTAAAAAGCACCCATTATTTAATTTAAACAAATGTCTTCAATAAACATAGAGGTTACGAATGTGTATGAGACTAACAGCGTCTCACCTATCAAAATGCTTGGATAACTTTAAATGGTCCACACTGTATATTTTTAAATGCAGAGGCACAGAATTAATTTCTACACGTAATATATAAACCATATTATTATTATTATTATTATTATTATTATTATTATTATTATTATTATTACTACTATTATTAAAATTTACAATTGTTTAAATTGTAAATGAATTTATAAACAGAAGTACTATCTAAAAATGGAAGTTATTTAAATAATGAGGCGAAGAAGTCTTAGATGAGAAGAAAACGGGTAAAAAATGAGAAATCCCAAAATTTCTTGATAATGGAACTACCTCATAGACATGCTCTACGGTGCAATAGGTTTCATCCCGATTGGTCAAGCCATCTCGGTGTAATCGAGTAACATACATTTAAAAAAAAAAGGAAAAAAAATGTCAAATTGAGTACCCTCCTCCTTTTCGAAGTTTCGGTTAAGAAAATGGAAAGTTGAAATATATTCCTATACCTATAAATATACCCCTCCTCCTATCCTTATAAATATCCTGATTTAACAAAAAATAGGATGAAGTTCCCTCAATTAATAGGAAATACTTTATGTCGAACCGAACTTATGGATGTAATGCTTTCAATGTTTATGTCGAACTCAACTTATGGATCTAATGTTTATATTCATAATCTATGAATACAGATTCATAATCTTTATGTTTTCAATGTTTATACTCCTTTGCACGTGCAGGTGGATGGACTCAACCTTCTTGGGCGATGCGCTTACGTGTCAGGAATTTCTTAAATAATCTTATCGACACGTAGGCTCGCTTGAGAAGGTATAGTTGCTCAGTAATCAGTTTCCATTTAGCCGCACCCGTCATGCATTTAAGTTCGGAACGTTAAAGATTCATTTTCCACGAGGTAATATTCATACTTTTAGACACAGTTTCGCAAAATAACATTATTTATACACATCACGTGTTTCCAGCCAATTCTCTCGTCACAAATTTGTGCAAACTGCGGATAGTGTAAATTCTTAAATAATTTTCTCATAAGATATTTGTTGTCGTTGTATTGTATATATACAGAGTGTCCTAAAAATGTTGTAACAAATTGAAGGAGGTGGTTTGGGAGGTGATTTGAAACAACTTTTTCTTTAGCGAAAATGTCCGAGGCTTCGTTGAGGAGATATTAACGAAAAACACTGACCAATCAGAGCGCGCCGATACCGTTGGAGCGGCCGCGGTAGCGAAGGCTATGTGCTAAGCGACCGCGCTTGTACGCGAACAAGCGACTCGACATGCATCGAAAGACATTGGACGCGGCCGCTTAGCTCGTAGCCTTCGCTACCACGGCCGCTCCAACGGTACACGCGCGCTCTGATTGGTCAGTGTTTTCCGTTAATATCTCCTCAATGAAGCCTCGGACAACATTTTCGCTAAGGAAAAAGTTGTTCCAAATCACCTCCCGAATCACCCCTTTCAAGGTGTTACAACATTTTTGGGACACCCTGTATATTAAGCTTAATACTCATTTAATTTGATAAGGACCATACCTTAATAGAGGTAAACAAAAATCAACATCCGTGTAAAGAATTTTTCAAGGTTTTCTACCTAACATATGACCTAATTCCGTTCTTAAAACTTGTCAATCGTACCGCTCATTTACCGTGATAATTACGAAAACATTCATCGATTGAAGTTTATTTCATGATAAAGAAAAAACGCCCACAGTCGTCAGTTTGTATACATATGTTGAAAGCATTCGCGAATAACGATATGCGTTTTATTTAATTGCCTGCTGTTTTTTCCTCGTTCGTTCGCAAACAAAACCTCAAAGATTAGCCAAAACCGATTGACTTATCGAACGTTGCGATCTGCCGAATCGTGTTCAGTTCGTCCGAGTCAGTGCCAGTGCCGGCTATCGAGCAGTTTGCAGTGGTTTGCAGCAAGTGAATGGGAGAATACCGAATACATCTCAAAACGAGTGTTTAAATACCATCAAATAGACGCACCTACTGCGCGAAACTTCGTGATTCACTCAACGTTCTAATTTGGTAAGTACTTTTATACGAATTACATGTATTGTGTACACGACCGTAAATTGAAATTTTTTTAGTAACGCAATAATGAATCATCAGTAAATATATGTATGTACAATCACGTCATGTCTTCGTTAGGATGCTGGAAATGTATTTCTATATTACATCCTATTTTCATGTGTATTTTTCTATAGTTTTCTTTCTTTATTTATTTCATGTACTAATTGGTTTACTATATTTTCGTTGGTACCATTTTAGATTTTGTTCCAAGCGGTTCTTTGAATAAATTTTAAGAGAATCGTCAGTGTGTTAACGAGGATATTCCTGTAGAAATACAGGGTGTCCCAATTAATGTTGGAGGTCCTTGAAAGGGGTGGTTCGGGGGGTGATTTGAAACAACTTTTTCTTTAGCGAAAATGTTATCCGAGGCTTCGTTTAGGAAATATTAACGGAAAACCCCGACCAATCAAAGCGCGTAGACTACGCTACCCCGACCAATCAGAGCGCGAGTATGCCGGTGGAGCGTAGGCTACGCGCTAAGCGTCCGCGCTCATACGCTACTACGGCCGCTCCACCGGCATCCTCGCGCTCTGATTGGTCGAGGTTTTTTGTTAATATCTCCTTAACGAAGCCCCGGACAACATTTTCGCTAAGGAAAAAGTTGTTTTAAATCACCCCCCAAACCACCCCTTTCAAGCACCTACAACAATTTTGCAATTCTTGTAGAATTATTAACTAAAAACCCCGACTAATCAGAGCGCGCGTAGTCTACACTCCACCGGCATACTCGCGCTCTGATTGGTCGAGGTTTTTTCTTAGTATCTCTTTAACGAAGCCTCGGACTACATTTTTGCTAAGGAAAAAGTTGTTTCAAATCACCTCCCGAACCTCCTCTTTCCAACCTCTTATAACATTTTTGGGACACCCTGTATAATACATACATGCGTTCTTCATTAACATTAACACTAAGTTTATGAAACTTTTTAGTATCTTATCTTCGCTACATTATTTATTTTTGAAGAACTTTTTAATAACGTTCATATCTATTACCAGAGCAATTTGGATGTATGCTTGTCCGTTTATGTGGATAAAAGTGGGCATAAATGGCGAAAAATGTAAAGGATTTCTGTAACTTTCCTTGTGAAATTAGTAATGGGACAAAATAATCGTGTTCCATGAACCTATTGTTAATTGCACCCAGCGAGGTTATGTCACAGTCGATCGCATAACAAAAGGTTCAAATCTTCTGAAATCTTCCAAAACTGTCTGACGCAGTTAACCTGTATGCGATCAGTTGCTAAAAAATAACAGTGCTGTACAAACACTTCTGGATTGCTTAAAGATTGAAGTAAGTTATAAATACAGGTAGTCAAGGTACTATTTATTAAATTGTGGTAGCCAATAAATAAATAAATATTTCTTTTATGTCAGAGAGTGAAAATAAAACTAATGATTCAATTTTGATACATTATCATATCAATACGATACTCTAATATTCAGAAAGGAACTGCTTTACTAGAGGACATTGCGATTTAAGTTTCTTCCGCTCAATAATTGCTTACTTTTTTCTTATTGTACACTAAGTACCGCCAAATGGAATTTTCCCACTTCCATATGAGTAATACTTTTATTAATAAAATCTTAGGCCCTGTAAAGGTGTATAGGCACTAGTATTACTTATATATATTTTATAGTATCACCATTTATATAATAATTAATGTTTATTCATAAGTAGACTGCGGATTTTTATGCATTTATAGGGAATTTGAATGTGCAAGAAACTACAAAATACACAGTATACAAAAATATACAAAATATTGAGAGTAAAGTTCATATTATAATATTTACAAAGTAAAATAAATACCTATTTAGGTTCAATTTTTGTAGGTACATTTGCCAAGATTTTATTTTGCATAAAGATCCGCGATCTATTCATAAGATATGGAATGCTTATTTCATATAATTATACTAATATCATCGTATATGTAAAGACCAAAAAGTATATATAGTAAAAATTGATGACTATATTGTGTTTTGTAGTTAGCGTCACTTAGAGGTAATATCCCTCAGGTGTTGTAGCTATGCTTTACAGTAGCTACAGTAAGGGTTTAGCAATCCAGAGGTACCCAAGCTATAGTAAAGTAATGTAATATCCAAGTATAGTAATATAAAGCAAGAATGAAACGAATTTAAAGAACAAGTAAATGCAAGGCTAGTATATTAGGTGTTACAGTCGAATTATATGATTTTGCTCACTTAACTCATTCGTTTAACAGCAATATTAGTCCATTGCTAGGCAACTTACATTATATCTTTGTACAGAGAGCATTGGGTTGACTTTTAAACAGCGGAACTTGGAATCCTTTGACGCCACACAGTAAAAATATAAGATATAGATACAATATTCCAAGAAAAGTAAGACTTACAATGATCATACAATCTTCCAATATTCCCTCAAAAATAATATTTTAAAACTCGCTTAAAGGTAATATTAGTCCATTGCTAGTTAACTTACATTATATCTTTGTACAGAGAGCATCGGGTTGACTTTTAGATAATGGAACTTGGAATCCTTTGATGTAACACAATAAAAACATAAAATACAGATACAATATTCAGCTAAACTTTGCCTCAGGGACCCATTTTTTTTTGTTAAAACCTATCAAGGCTCATAGTTTTTTACCTGAAACGTCCGAAAATGCAAATTAAAAGTTTAGGAAATCAATAGTTTAAAAGATACGAGTACATAAATATCCAAGTTCCAAGAAAAGTAAGAATTACAATGAGCATACAATCTTCTAATATTTCCCAGAAGATAATATTTTAAAATTTATTGCCACCTTGTATTCGGTATTTCCATATAGTTCTCTCATAAGTTCTTACCCGAAAAGAAAAAGGGAAACTACGTTAAATACACGTCGGTAATAGCGGTCAATTGATCTCGTTTTGTTTATATTGCATTTCAGTTCCGATTATTCGTTAATCGAAGACCAATCGGATTTAAAATTCACACCGCTTCGCTTTGTGCGGGCACATGGTTAAACGGATTCGTGCTTTACGATTGGTCGTGACGCACACCGATCCTTGATAGGTCGTTCCTTCCAACTCTGGGATTTTCCTGATTCCCGTCCTCGTGCTTTTATATCGGTTCGGTATGCGCGTTTCACAGTGTGACGCTCGTCTTCGATCTGGCCTTATGGTTCGGTAATATTTTTTCATTCGCTCTTTCAGTCCACGTTTAACTTTCGAAGCGAAAAGCATTAACCGGACAGGACTTAACATGTGGCTACGTGAGTAATTTATATGTTCTATTAAGTTGTACAAAAAATTCGTTCGGATTTTAACGCCCAAAGGAAATATATTTACTCTGTAATATATTATTCATTGCGTTATACGATCTTTTCCTGTCTTTTGATCAAATTCGTGACCCTGGGTTTGTAAAAGTCCTCGTCAAGTTAAAATAAACATTACCAAGAACCGAACGAACTTTTCGGCCAACCTAATACGTATCACGATCACAGAGTATCGCGAGATCTCCTTCATTATAACTAAACGGGTTGAGAAACTTATCGGAAATTATTTGTGAAATTTGTTGATTTATATTTGAAACTTTGAGTTTTTCGTAACTGGTGTCATCGTATCGCGGAGACCAAATATACATTTAATATGTAAATTTGTTAATTTACATAGAAAGTTCAAATTTGTCGTAGCCGGTATATATATATATATATGTATGTATGTATGTATGTATGTATGTATATACATGTGCCATCATCGTATTGTGAAGACTAAATAGATTTAATGTGTGGATTAATGCTATTAATATCATATCTCGCCATTAACGTCATCTTTGATATTTTCGTATAAAATAAATTCTAGCGTGTTTTAAAATTATCGTGGCTTCCTCTGATATTGAAATTCTTAACGTACTGAATGAAGTCAACGTATTTGTAATTTTACAGATAAATTATATACAAATGTATATTATTTAGTGTGGTCTACGATTCAATTCTTTTTTAACCGACTTAGGAGGAGATTGCTCAATTCAACATCTATATTTTTCTCTTAGAAAGTAAACATTTTGAAAATGTTCATTTCGTCAGTATACAGTTTGAACGCGATCTCGTATTCTGGTTTATTTTCATTAAGTTATATCCTTGAGTTATAGTTGTTTTCTCTTCTTGTTTACTGCATCGTCAAACTGTATCAAAGAAATTATAAACATCAATTAGCAAAATATTTGATCGGTACAAAAAGATAAGTAATGGTTAAGAATTGTTAAATTACTATTGATTAATTTTTGTGTTAAACTTTACTTTACTTTACTTTTTTTTTATTTGATCAAGAGAGCATCGGCTAAAGCCAATATGGCGTCCAATTAACCAGTCAAAAATACGTCAAAGGTGTTCAACTTTAAATACTCGTAATTTTTAAACCGTTGGATTCCTAACATTAAAACTTACATTTTTGTAATCTAGGCATTAAAATCTACTGAATGGTATAAAAAAAGTCAATAATTTTTAGTGCCTAGAAGTAAACTTCAGCCAATTTTTGATAAGTCTATTAAAAAGTTGTTTCGATAAAGTTATAGAGTAACGTTTTGTTATATTATTGAGACTTGAATTTTGATCACAGAGATAAGTTGTAAAATACAGGATGTCCCAAAAATGCAACACCTTGAAAAAGGTGGTTCGGGAGGTGATTTGAAACAACTTTTTCCTTAGCGAAAATGTTATATGTTGCTTCGTTAAGAAGATATTAATGGAAAACACTGATCAATCTGAGCGCGAGGCGCCCGCGTTCCGCGACCAATCAGAACGCGAGTATGTCGGTGGAGCGTAGACTACGTTAATATCTCCTTAACGAAACCCCGCACAATATTTTCGCTAAGGAAAAAATTGTTTTAAATCACTTCCCGAACCACTCTTTTCAATGACCTCCAACATTGTTAGGACACCCTGTATAATCTTCATTTGTGTAATATGCATAGAAATTTCGTAATAAATGTACAAGAAATTTGTCTCTGATAATTAAAAAACTACGCAAAACTTTTTTCACACGCGAAACATTAACCATAATCTTTAAACAGTGATGTCTGTCTCATTGCTATTTTTTAATTCCGTTAATGTGTCACCATGTTTGGTATTCTTCGAAAGTAAACAAAATCATCGCGTTAATAAAATATTAATCCTTTGCAGTGTCATACCAAGTGAAATTCGACAAAAAAAATGTAAAATGGTATTCGATAAAAATTAATATTTTCTAAACGAATCTTTACTCGAAAATAAAACCCCGTATTTCATACGCCATACTAAACGTTTATATTATGCTAAGTAAATATGATCGAAAATAGTTGAGAGATACAATTGTTTCGAAAGTGTTGAACGTATCGCATACATACCTGTGTTTAAAATAAATACCACATCTTGGTATTCCCGTTCGATCTCGTCATAAGACGGAACGAACATAATAAGAGTTAAATTACATTCTAGCTGTTAGGTTTCGTAATAATATTGGATATTATATCAAGAATTAGAGAGAATAGAATCGCTTCACGCGAATCATTTATCAAAATAATTACTATTCGTTACGATGCCGCGTGTACTAATGGATCGATTTGTTTTCAATAACATAGAGCCAGGGCCGGGTTAGGTGGGTGCGCGGTCGGGCAACCGCCCGGGGCGCCAGATTTTTGGGGGCATCGCAGTCCGGTGTAGATTAGTATAGCTGCTATATATTGTAGTTTAACAATCTTTACAATCTAGCTACAATCGTTTGATATTATTACCTTGTCTTCTTTTCTTAAAAATTTTAGCCTGAAGGGGCGCCGCGATAATCTTGCCCGGGGCGCCAATATTGCTAAAACCGGCCCTGACCATGTTACAGTTAAAAGTCACGACTTAACAGAGAAAGAAAACCGTGGTACTCTATTTGTCTTTGTCTCTTAGCGCATGCGTACAAGTGCATAGATCCACGCATCTTCTGAATATCTCCTTGCCAACGTTAACACTTTTTT